CTTCTCAGACACTCGCATTGTAAATGCAGTTAACATGTCTTAAGGGTAATATGCCACATGGCCTGTAAGTTGTGTACACAATAATGGAGGCTTTCCCTTTTTATGCAAAGAAATGGATCTGAATTCCAGAGGCAAAATTTACAGTCTCCATGGAGACAACTTTCTTCAGTCATTAAATGGCATCTTCATCCTGAAAACTGAACATCTAACACTACTACTGTTAACAGCATTTGTTACTTAGTAAAAATGTTTTTGGGGGGTGTTTTTGTTTGTTTTTTAATACAGAGTATTTGTCATTATGCAACAGATTCAGAAATTTGATTTGGCAGTAAGATGTATATTCTCTCCAATCAGTATAGACATGCTGCTTTTTTTTAACCAACACTGATTTTTATAAAGAAAGCAATGGGCCTGATTCCTAACTGCCTTGATGATGTATGAATGGGAATAAAATACTATTGACACGCTGATTTCGAAGGATTTTGGGACCAGTTTGTAGTAATCTTGCTGAAATAAACACATTTTGCATGGTGTGCAGTGACTGATCAGGTCCAGTTATATGAAAAGGCAGGACAAACCTGAAAAAAGCAAATAAGAAAAAGGCAGCATTTCTGAATGTGCTTATCAGTGCAACCCACTTGTAGTTAATCAGATATTATGAAATACCAGTTAAAGTGATGTTGAATGAAATGCTTTGTAGTGTGCAAGTTAGTAAAGTCTTGAAAATCAAAAGTGCTTTCCCTGCTTTCTATCCAAAAAAGCATTTAGGCTCTGATTCACCAATGCATATGTTAGAAACTAAGCTTTGTGAAAACAGGACTTAAGCTTGTACTTTATTTAAGCACATACTTATTCTTTTGAAATCAATGGCCAGAGTATAAACCAACTTGTATTGTCAAATTCAATATCAATAGTATTTGTTTGTAGAAAATGAAAAGGAAAAAGCACTTCAGCTTAAATACTATTGACAGCCTCCACCAAAGTCTGTACTGTAATTATGTTAAAGCCCCCTTTTGATTGTACTACTTTGCACTGAGGGTGTTTTATTTAGATAGCAGTAAGCAATTCTGGGCATATCTACATGAGATGTTTATTGTGAGCTGCCTAATTAGCTCTTCAGTAAAGTCTCTGTGTTCACTCGTGCAGCTCTATTAGGTTGCAGTAAACTAATAAATGCTGCTATAGATTAGTACTTGTAACTATAAGTACTGTCCTGTGTCAGAGCTCTTCAGTGCACAGGAATGCATATGTAGATACTGATGGAGCTGACTGCATTCCCTCTGCAGCACTCTGAGCTGGGTTGTAGCAGCCCCAGGCTGGCAGACTGACAAGTCCCAGCCCCCCCATCACACCAGAATTTTGAACCTGTGGGGAAATCTTGAACCTCAGTGGCTGGGACAGAAGAACAGCAGCAGTTTGTCAGTCTCAGCCTTCTCACTACACCAGTCTTCTGATCATATCACCTCTATGGAGCAGTCAGATGTTGGCTTACTACATGTAAAAATTAGGGCTGTGTGAAGCTTCGGTCCCTGATTTGATTCAGCAGAGACTTTGCCCAGTTTGGTGGCCAAATCTCCAAATTTGAATTGAATCAGGAGACCCTTTAATCTCTCTGAATCGAACTGGAACCCTCTGAATCAATTTGGAGAGATTCAGAAAGATTAGGAGATTTGGAGATAGACACAGTTTTAAATGTTTTTTCTACGTGTACCAGGCAGCTCATGAATGCTGGGATGCTGCGGCGGATGAAGCATCTCACGAAAGTGCAAGGGGCTCCCCAGCGTGCTCAGCAGCAGACCCGGAGTAGACCAGAAGCACTTTTGGTCCACTTCCAGGTCCACTGGGGAGCATGCTGGGGGGCCTCCTGCCCCCCCCCCCCAGCTTGGCGACTGGTGCCTCCTGGGTCTGGAGGGGCACCCGGGTTCCCCCTGTGGCTGATCGCTGAACCGGGGGGGGGGGGGCAGTGCACTCCCCAGCAGACCAGGAAGTGGATTGAAAGTACTTCCGGTCCACTTCTGGATTTGCCGCCAAGGATGTGGGGGGCCCCCCTGTGCTCCTGTGAGATGCGCCATCTATCCCAGGATCGCAGCATTCATGAGCCGTACCTGGTACCTTGAGGTATGTAGATAAAACATTTAAAGCTGGGTCTATGGCCAAATCACTGATTGCCGGAATCAGCATTGAATTTTCAGATTTGGATTCAGCTGAATCAAATCAGGGACAGAGATCCGAATCAATGAATCAAATCACTGTCCCTGATTTGGGCTGAATCCGAATTAAATATGGTCTGTTTCGCACACCCCTAAAAATATCTAAGCTCCTGATCTGGAAAATATCCCTAAGTAGTAGAAAACTTAAACACATGTTGAATTATGCCTTGTGCCCCAACACATGAAGTATGGAAATTTGCTCAAATTGAAGTCAGTCAGCTCTTCACATAATGTTAAGGTAAAGTTCTGTTAGACAAGAAAGTAGAAAAAAAAGAACATATCCATATAGGAATTTCAAAAAAGAAAGAAAGAGAGTGAGCAAGAGAGAGAGCATAGAAAAGAAAAGGAATTCAGAAATGTTGCTCTATTTAAAAGATAACAAGTTGGATTTAAACAGTAATAGTATGGGTGAAGTCAAATGCTGAAGTATGCATTTTTTTAATAGTTGAAAAATACTTCTGATCTTGTGTTTTTATTTATGCAAAATTACCACTGAAATAAGTGATAGATCTGGGTATTCAAGAAATGTATGGCTCAGTCCTTATAGGGCCTGAACAATTGTGCATGAATAAGTTTCATTGCATGATTGATCCCCATGAAATTGCTGGAATTTTATGTGAATAGCTGCATGTATAACTGTGTTCAGGGTCAGGATCCATATGTGTAGTTGAGCTTTTGTGGACACTGTCCTTGGTCCTTCAAGGCAGTGAGTGATTTAGTTCCGATTCAGCAAAGCATTTAAAGCATGCATTTAATTTTCAGTGTGTGAGAAATTCTGCTGAATTCTGTGAATAAAGTTCTTAGTTCTGCAAGATGCTGTACACTTTAGCCCCAGTCTAGCAAAGCATTTAAGCATTTTGCAGGGCTGAACCTTGTGTAGTAGTATTGATGAATGTGGTACTTGTGTGTTGAAGAACCTCTAGGCTTTGCCTCATTGACTCTAGGCACTTATATTAATGGCATTGGTGGCATTAATCACTCCTGTCAAAAGAAGTCATTTATGCCTCAGTGTTTAATTAGTTGTAAGGGTTTTCAGCCTTGTGTAATTGAAAAGCTATAAATCTGGTATTTATGTCTGAGTCAAAAACTAATCATGTTAAATGACATTAGTGCTTAACTCATGTAGGAAGAGGAGTATGCATTTTTGCCAGCCCACTAAAAATAGTGGAGGGAACTAGATTAAGAAAAAGAAAAGCATTTCAATGTTTACCCATTTTATAGAAAACTATTTGCCTCATTTTTACGTATATTTGGTGATACATGCTTTTGTCACCAATTAAATGTGTCTTGCGGGCCAACAGGGAAAATGCGTGAAATCATTTTATATACTTCTTGTAATGTTCACATTAGTTTTCAAAATGGTTTTGCTTCCTAACCCTACCATTATACTGAAGCTTCTCACTTTGAAAGTGACAGACTGCGGACTGGTAAGTCCATCAGCTTTTTGTAAGTGTAATCATTCATAATTTTATGTGCAGTAACATCTGATCACGTTCCTGTTTATACATTTTGAAATCTATATCTAAAAGCACATATGGTGTCTATTATTCAAATATTTACAGTCTGTGAGACATTTTTATATTTTTACTTCACTCTCATGGTTTCTTCTCTTTTCACCAACTGAAAAAGATTATGCTTGATGTTACACTGGATATGGAAATTCAAGTACCAGTCTAAAATATCTGTACGTTTTAAGTAGTCTTTTAGAACTAGTATAAAATATTTCTACAATCTACAGACCATTTGTATTTTGTTTTCATGCTGTCATGCACAAATAATAAATGGTTGCGCATTAAAATGTTGTATGTTTTCAGTAGTCTTTTACAATCTTTGATTTTTTTGCCAAGTTGCCAGTGTGCCCAAAAATATTTGTATACAGCCAGTAATGATTCATTTTCAGTAGCCTCAATATATTTTGGTTGGCTTAAATCATTTTTCTGTCCCACTTCAATCTTCCTTTCTTGATCTCTGATCTTTCTTAGACCAACTAATGCCTCCCTTTTTACACTTCAATTTTCAAGTTAACTCTATATACTCTTATAATTGGTGTAGTGGTGAAGTAATTGAAAGGCAAGGCACTTCAGGGTACCAGCTTTTGGTAAGCATTCCTGGAACTCTTTTGAAGGTGTACAGAAAAAATTGAGCCTGATTACCAGATCACTGAAGGATATCTTGAAGTCCTTTCCTGCTTTAGTGCTTTGCTTAATCATGTTTTAGGGATATACACATCAAACTTCAAGGGAGTTTCAATGGAAATTGGATGCCTGTTTCTTTTAGGGGCTGTTTGAAAATCTAATCCAAAGTATTTTCCAAGAATGTAAACATCTATAAAATTGTTGGATTATCTGACCTTTTTTTTTTTAAACTTGTGGTTCTTTTTCCAATACTTAATTAATTTTCCATGCCTTATTTTGTCACACATGCAAACAAAGTAAATTCAATACTAACCTTTGTCTATGATGCAGACTTCATGCCCAAAAGAACAAAAAAAGAATTGAAATAATGTATAATCTCTAAAATGTTGCCAAGCCCATGCTGCCACATTTTATAGAGAGAAATTTGTCTTAAAATTTAAATGTTCTTTTCTGATGGAAAAGGATAGCACCTATCTGCCAAGCACATAACACGTGTGCTTCGGATAGAATAGTGGCTAAAAAATGCTTTTCTTTCTTTCTTCTCTCTCTCTCTCTCATGGTGACTTCAGATTAAGTATGGAGATTTTGTTGGGGGGGCATGGGGAATTACTTGTCAGCCTGCGATAATTTGCTTTTCCATCTGGCCTTTCCACAGGAGAAAAGGTGATGCAAGATGATGAATTCACCTGTGACCTTTTCCGCTTTCTCCAATTGCTTTGTGAAGGACACAATTCAGGTTTGTGGGCAACCTGCCAGCCAGCTAAGCCAAAGAGAGTACTCAGGGATAAAAGCTCATCAGTGTTGAGGGGTTGGCAACTCTTAATGAAATATTATGAAAGGTGCTTCAGCAGTTCAACTGTTCATGAATGAAAAAATATTTTGGGGGGAATTAAAATGTCAGTTTTTGTATTCATTTAAATATTGAAGGAAAATAATGCACACAAAATTACAATTCTTGGAGCATGGTCTATCAGGGGTGGGCAAAGTATAGCCTGTGGGCCAGTTCCAGCCCACCAATTGATTGGATCCAGCCCATGGCTTTCCCCTCGGTGTTCTGCATGCGGGCGAGCCCATGCCACACTCCAGACCATGCCTACTGGCCCCAGTCTGGGCCAGTGTACACAGCTTCCAGAGGGACTGCTCCCAGTGTGGCTGCAGCTACCTGGTTGATGTTTAGCTCCCCTTACCTGCAGCAGTGGCTCCTCCTGCTCATGCTATGCTGCTCTGGGTGGGGGGAAAGCTTCAGCTGGCAGGTCCTGTCCCAGCATGCAGACCTCCACTCCAAACTGCCTTCCACCCACTCAGCCACAGCCGGAGCTGTGGCCTCATATACTAAGGCAGGAGCCACCCAGCTGACACTTCCTCCCTGCCCAGAGCTGAGAAGCAGGACGAGGAGCTGCTGCTGGAGGTGGGGAGCTGAGCAGTGCACACATAGCTGCAGCCACACCAGAAGCAGCCCTGCCAGTAAGCTGTGCACCCTGGCCAGATGTGGGCTGGAACGTGGTGTGAGCTGTCCCAGGTGGGCCTGGGCCCCAGGCTGAGTGCTGTGGGAGCAGTCACGGACTACACTGCCTGGGCTTCACATGGCCTATGCCCTCTCCTCCCATCCCTCACCCTTGGCTGGCTCCCAGAACCTAGCACCCAGGCAGCCCCTCTGCCATGCACATGCACACATGCCCTGACCCCAGACACCCCACCCACACCCACCCCCCATAGGGCAGGGGCATGCAGGGATCATGGCTCTGCCTGAAGCCCTGGCCCCATGCTGTCACTGCCCTATGACCCTGCCACACGTTTCTTGCCTCACCCACCTGTCCCACTCCTCAATACCGCTCCCCACCCACCCATGCC